CTGCTAACATCCTATCCTATCTTGTTTTAATGCTATAATCATCTCTCTGAAATGGTCTCCTTGTATCTTTTCTTTCCACTGTTTACTCCTTACATGGCATCCAGAATGACCACTTTAAAATATAAATCATCTCAAGCTATTTTTCTACTCAAAACTCTATAGACTCCTCATTTAACTCATAGTAAAAGCCAAAGTCCTTACAATGGACAGCAAGGCCCTTGTTAACTCTTTGACTCCCTCTCCTCCAACTCTCCCCCTGGCTCATTCCAGTCTGCCTACTCTGGCTCTTTTGCTGTTCCCTGAGTTCCCAGACACACTCTTGCTCCACTAAGAACGCCTGCAGGAGGACATCGAAGCCTTTGCTCAAATCTCACTTTCTCAACAAGGCCTGTAAGACTCTCCCCACTCCTCCTCTTGACTCCTTTTCCTGATTTCTTTCTCACGTGAGAGTCCAGTGTAAACTAGCAAAGGGGCTCTCACCCATGAATTCAGGTTCCCAGCCTCTGTTCATCCATGCACTCTGCCTCTGTCAGTCTCTTTGGAGATCCTTTCATTTGGGCCAAAGTACACAGGGAGCGGGAAGGGCAAAGAGAGAGAGGATAGAGAAGACACAACTGCTTTAACCTGCCTTGATCCAGAAGTAACACAATCACTCCCAAACAGATTCCACTGGTAAGACCTCGTCACATGGCCCATCTGGCTGCAAGGAGGATGGGCTACCTAATCTAGTTATATGTCCAGGAAGAAAAGGAAAACATGGATGTCGGCAAGTACTTCTAACCAGTAAATATATTTTGCGCCCTCTTCCTATGCCTAGAACACACTCAAACTTCTCCCACCCCCTCCCCCTCCCCCATGGAAAACCTGAAGTCCCACGCAGTCATTGCATCTAACTACAAGTCCAGGATCTCAGGCACTGGCACAGTCTCCTCCATCAAGACGTACAGCTCCTTCTGATGCAGCTTATGAACTAAAAAGGCAAGTTATCTGCACCCACCCTCCCCAGTCCCAATATACAACAGTGGGTCAGCAGAAGGTTCTTTCTCATCCAACATCTTCTTGGTCACATGGAGGGTTCTGGCATACCCTCCGAAGGAGCTCTAAAACCTTCATGACCAACCTCTTTCCAGGACAAGTTAAAAAGTGGTTTTACAGCTCAAATAGTCATGCTCATGGTTTCGTTGCCAATATCCCTCAAAAACTTCACGGGCCTTTGATCTATTTGTTTCCAGTCGGTTCCATGTGCCAGTAACCACACACAAAGTTCTTTCCCAAACATAATTCTCAATCCTGATTTATGTGTTTGCCTCCATGCCTTTTTGCTTTCAACTAACGGAAGCCACCTGGAGGCCATATGAAACAATAGGTCAGCGGTTTCCAACTTTGGCTGCAAAACAGAGTCACTTGGGGGAACTTTCAGAAACTTTCCTGTACCCTGGACCCAATAAATTAGAAGCAGTGTAGGTGGGAGCAATGTGATTCTGATGAGCAGCCAACAAGAACTCATACCTTCATCTGATCTTTGCCACAGGACTGAGCCACTTCTTTTCAGCTGAGAAAGTTTAGTAGGTCTTTGTTGCTCAAAGCCTTTCTCAACTCTTACCTCTTGCTTTCTAGAAACAGTCTATTTTTCCTTTCACTGCCCCAACTGTCAGAACCTTCTTTTTTTTCTTTTTTTTTTTTTGCTTGAAAAGTAGCCAATACTTTCCCAAGCTCCTCCCTTTCTTACAATACCTTACCAATAACAATCAACATATTCTCTGATCTCTTCCAACATTTGACCTAGAGTTCGCTCGGCATGAAGTAGGTCTTCCAAGTTACCACAGATGACAAATTTACCAAACTGGTCACCATTGTGGAACTTGGGTTTCTGTCTTTCCAATCTCTGGTATCAGTGCCCTCATCAGGGTGCTGTCTGACTATTAAGCCAATGAAACAAATTTTAAGGTTTTGTTTTAAGAGAACACCACTCCCAGCACCAACCAGTGTGGCAAAAACTAAAACCTAAGTAGCTTAAACACAGAGTCTCTCCCTTGTTCCCATTCAGAGTCACACAGGTTGGCAGGATGTTCTCTGCCCCTTGCTCAAGGACCAAGTTTTCTTTCATTTTATGGTTTCTCCTTCTTTGTGTCCTAATGAAATTCTCTCCACTAAGCTGGTAGAGAGGATAGAAAAGGCACCCAGCTATTACCTGTCTGGTTCTAGGAAGACACATAACACTCTGATCACATTCTGCTGGTAAGAGGTATGCACGTGGTCCTTCTGGATACAGTGGGGCTGAGAGATGAGGTTGAGGTGTGTGCCCAGTAAGAACAGGAAAATAAGATGTTGGTGAGCCCCAGTGGTCTCTTCAGTACCCCTTAAAATTTAAGCTCCATCAGGGCAGGAATCTTTGTCTGATTTGTTCATAGATATACCTCACATGCCTGTTAACAGTGCCTGGGACATAGTAGGTGCTCAAAAAATATCTTTTGAATAAATAATGAATGGACAGAATGAATCACAGGTATTTTTTCCTATAATCACAGGTATGGAATTTTTTTCTATAATAAAGGTAAATGAATGGATTGGTGACTAAAAGAATAATGAATTATAGTCATGGTTACTTAGATGAAACATTAAACAGAAACTTTTGGAAAAATCAAAATAAATTTCCAAATACCAACACTACACATATCAAATCTACAATGCAAAATCACATACCAACTGGTTAAATGCACACTAAATGCATCTATTGTGAACACAGAGAAATATTCATTCAAATATTAGCACAGATATGGTGGGCAATTTTCAAAGAAATTACTATTAAATGGATTACACATTTTTTTCATTAGGTGGAAAGTTCTTCACCCCCATCAGCCTCAAAATTCACTCATATCTTCCTCAAAGAACAAGGGCACTGCACAGAGTCCTGATCTTAAAAACAAGTTAAATCCATGCACACACACGTATGCCCCTAAAAGACCTTACCAGCATGCATCTACCATACATAATGCACATACTCATCAAAATTCAGAATTGATACATCTATAATACCAGCATCAAAATTATGCATGCTGATAATACTAGATTTTTCCTGAACTCTTAAGTTACCATAACAAAAATTAATAAACTAGAAAAAAATAACAAAGCTGAAATTAAAATAACAATAAATGGAGATAAGACTTACTTTCCAAGAGTGTTGTGAGGATCAAATAGAAATAAAAGAACTCACTTGTGATTTCTATACTTTCCTTTATGTACGTTACAGATCAATGCAAAAATTCAACACAGTATATGAAAAACAGCCTTGCAAATCATAAAGCAATATTCAGTCACTTGTCTTTAAATAAATGAAAAATTCCCATTTCTATAAGGGTTATATATTAGTTAAATGAGCCAATTCAAACTAACGTGAGAAGGAAGTTCCTCATCTTCCTACTCCCAACATCTAGAATGAGAATGTTCAGTAGACACATGCCAGAGAATCCAATTGTGAAAGGTAATAGAGCAAAGAGCTGTCTCAATCTAAAGAGTTAGGCTCTAAACAACAACAGTTAAAAAACATTAACAAGTAATTAACACAGTGGGATACTTGTACTTTAAGAAAAAGTAACAATTTTAATATCCATAAATTCTCTCTAGCCAATGAAAAAGAGGAAAAACTACTAGGTTTTATTTTTTTTTCCTTTGCTTGTTTAAAAAAGTTAAAATAATGACTCTTCAACCAAAAAAAAGATACTGGAATTTACAACACAAGACTCAGAATAGGATGTTCACTTTAACAAAATTTTATGGTTTAACTGTAACTGAACACCTATCTAACAGTTTTTAAAAATTATGTCTAACACATTGTCAGAGATGTAGGAAGTACACACTTTGATCAAAGTTTGATTTTTGTTTTTAGCTAATTCCTGTTATGAATTTATTGCTTTTTTTCTTGGTTGAGTTTTAAAAAGGTTAACTAGGGGGGAAAAAAAAAGAAAAAACCACCTTGCTTATTGAAGCTTTCTAATACTTAAAATCCAGTGGGATGATCAGGCTTAAGAACCTAGATTCTGAATTATACCTATGACTCTATGTATTTCTTATAGTAAACCAACCAACAAACAAACAAAAGCTAGAGGAAAAGGTTTTGAAACAAGGCCATAGCAACTGGAAATAAAAGTATGGCATATTTAAAACTCTGGAAATAAACTGAGAGAAGGGAAGAAAAAAATGATTGATGCTAAACCTGTTACATGATTTATAAACACCACAGAAAAATCAGACATTGACCTTCACTCAAATATTGTTATTTAAAAGGTTACTTTTGAAAGTAAGGACATCAGTGTGGAAATTGTAAAAGACAGTATTTCCCCAACTTCAGAGAGGCAAAAATTTAATTCCTTCATTTCCAGCAGCTTTCTTTGCAACATTTAAAGCTTATAAGCATGAATAAAATTTGCTTGAAAAAAAAGAACTTTAAATCTTCCTTAAAGTTCAGAGAGTAATAAGTCTTTTGGGGTAGGGGGTGGTACCCCTTGTACAATTTTAAAAGACACTTTTTCACTTGGAAAGGGAGCACTGTAACATCGCATTTTACTGAATAAAAGGGACCATGTCAAATGTAACAATATCTCCATCTCCTGGGATTTTAAAGACTGCTTTTACAGACTCACAGATAGAACTAGTAACAGGGCAATAACCGGTGGGGGGATGGGAAGTACAAACTACTGGCTGTAAGACAAGCTCAAGGATGGATTGTACAACACGGGGAAGAGACCCAATATTTTGTAATACCTGTAAGTGGAAAGTAATCTTTAAAAACTGTATAAAACTAAAAAAAATTTTTTTTAACTGTTTTTAAAATCAAGTGATGAAGCACAGCATATCTGCAACCCCCATCATGAATGTCAGTGTTAACATGTTGTGACACCACACCCTTATTTAGTAGACATCTCTCGGGAATGTGGCCCGAGTGCTGTTACCGATGAAACAGATGACCATTAGGGACACAGACTGAGACACAAAGCAGTTACCCAGGAGGAATGCTCCTTCATCTGGTGTTGGTTGCTGTGAGGGCCACTGGCGTGGCCACGCCAAAAGCAATTTTGGCAGAGCTGGTAGTTGTGGCACTGCTGGCATCGGTACCGGAAACCCATCATACTCTCACACCGGCAATAGGAGCACTCCACAGGATGGAAGACTTGGAGGAGGAAAAGAAGGCGGGAGAGATGGAGGCCAGGGAGAAGGGGTGGGACCAGAGGGAGAAAGAAATCATTTTCATTTGGAGAATAAAGTCAATACAGCAGAAAACCAAATTTAACATAAAAGCAAAAGTGAAAACAAAATTAGAACTGAAGAATCGAAACTATCTTATATTTAGCTAATCTGATCAGCCATTTACTAGAATAAAAAGACAGTAAGAACAAAATTTTCAATTTATAATAGATTATAATCCACTTTAGAAAACAGCCAACTTCCTTCTTTAAAATGAAATTCATTTCTCAAAATTTAGGTAAACATACAAGTAAGGGATTTCTCTTCCAAACCTTTAAAAAATTTTTTTAACTTTTGCCTATTTTATTTTATTTTATTTATTTATTTTAATGGAGATACTGGGGATTGAACCCAGGACCCCATGCATGCTAAGCATGAGCTCTACCCAGCCCCCCTCAGACCTATTGTTTTTTAAGGGAGCTATCATTGTGCTCATATTTGTTTCCGCCACTGACACAATATTCATGAAAATGCTGTGTATCTCTGTTACCTGCAAGCGCTTTTTTACACAGAACCTTGGACTGAAGGCCTTCAAATGTTTGCTAAATTAAATACTATTACAATACCTGGGCACAAATGGTAACTGGTAAAAAACAAAACAAAACAAGCTAGCCATATTAAAATACTAGTTTTAAGTAAGAGCTCCAAGTATCAGCATAAAATAAGGTACTCTAACCAAGGAAGGGAAACTCAGTGGCCTGCTGCTCTTTTTTTCTACCTCATACAGCATTTCAGCTCATGAAAAGCTGCCAGGCAGCAGTCAAGAGTTACAGAGGTCACTGGGATTCTCTTGTGGCCTGAAAGTTCAGTTCATTGAGTGAAAAATGGGCAATAAGTACACAACTGTATACTACAGATGGTTATTTATTATTTTAAATGTTGATAGAGTAATTGTTCCCCCTGGCAATTCAATGCTGAACACCAGAAATAGAAGACAACAAGAAAGGGGGATATAGTATTTGAATCTTCATTTGAACACTCTTGCTGGCACTATGTATACAAAGGCAATCTTACCACAAGTATAAGGATTTTTAGTCAGCTTCCAAAAATGTATATTAACCAGAGAATCAAGACTCAAAACAAACAACAAAATCTAAGCGCTAGGTGAGGAAAATAACATAACAAGATCACTAAAGAATAAAAGAAAACTAAAATCTGCAATGAGAAATCCAAAGGACATACTTCTAAGAAATTCAAACTTTTTGTCATCAGGATGATGCTAAGGAATAAAGAAAGTGCTAGAAAGAGTCTGTGCTTCAAATTAAAACTATATAATCTAGCAGAGTCCTGCCCGAGGACCTACTCCCAAATCAGTCTGGAGCTAACATTGATGCAGCCAACATCACTGCAGCCAGTGTTTATGATTCTGCATAATAATTTGGGTTAATATAAGTAATATATGTACATTAATATTAAATTATCAAATATATTCTGGTTATTTTAGTTGAACATGTGTGACTATTGTGGTTTTTCTTCTCTTCTACACCAGTCAAGAGCCAGTGCTTACATCAGTCAGCATAATGGGTGACCAGGTGGAAAAGCAGAGAACCCGAATGAGGACAGGATCAACAAGTGTGCTGACTAAGGTCAGGTTTTGGTGAAAGTATTCTTTTTGCAAGAATGCATCACATGGTAATTATCGTAATTACGATATACTTGGATTAGTAAACCAATATAAAAAGTGCAAGTTTTGCTTAAGCAAACAAATATTTGTCCTTATCCATAATAACTTCAGTACAATTCAAGCGATGCATTTCATAGGAAGTAAAGGCCCAAACAAAAAAACCCCCTAGAAATGCCATAATTTCAAAATTTGTTTCCCAGCATAAAAATTTACATATGTAAATAAATGTTAGTGTGATAGTTAACATGTTTTATTTCTAGATATTTCAATGACTTCCTATTTTTCTATCTCTGAGAAAAATGATATCATTAACCACATAAGGATGTAATCAATAAATATACTACATATAAAGTCACAACAGAATGTTCATGTGGATAACAACACATCTCAGCAAACAAGATTCTCTCCACTTGGTACAACAGATACAAAATGACTTTATGAAAACATTTAAAAGTACTACCCTCCAAAAGAACCAATAATACTGTAATAACAGCATAAATCTCCACCTAAAAATCCTGTTTGGAAAAAAATTTATTTGTTTTAGTCTATTTAAGAGATTCCAGAACTTTAGGAAATAATCCTGAATCTAAGGACTTGTGAACGAAAGCTATAATTGGGCAAAAGGCTGAGAAGTTTAAAAACTAAAAAAAAAGGCATGACTAGGAGGGGAGAAAATAAAAACAGCATGTTAGTGCTCCCTCATTCTTACAAAATGAAAAAAGAGGCCTCTGCTTCCTAGTGTCGCCTAGATGTCACTCTTCCTCTTTCGTGGAAGGAGAGACAGGCAAGAACCTTAAGAGAAGGGAGGTTCCAGAGAAAAACTAGGGCCTTTCTTTTAATGAACTCAACCTAAACAAGGAGAAAAATTGATGGCAATAGCAGAAAAACCCAAGAACTTCCTACGAGGTAAGTACCATTTCAATTCTAAGTGAAACAAAGATTTAAGTCAAACTACAGGGAAGGATACTGAGAGTAACTCAACAGTAAAGAAAAAAACTGAATATGGGTGAAAACCAAGACCCAATTCTATCTTAGCTATTTTCCTTTAAACTATTTCAAAATAAGTATAGTTTTAATGGTTGATAATTGAATATATCTAAATTTTTGGAGCTATGTTTTTATAAATTAAAACAAACAAACAAACAAACAAAAAAGAAGTCATGGCTAAGTAAGGTGGGTTCAAGCAGAAAACCACCATCTAGAATCTTGGCGGGGGGAAGAGCCTAGAGTCTGAATCACCAAGTTTTATGACCTGATATGACTACCTCTTGGTACCCTACCTAAGTAGTAAGTCCCCTCTCATTTTTTTTTTTCTTTTTGAGAAATAAATATTCCTCTTTTGAAAGCTAAAACCACAAGTTCAAGTGATGGAGTGCAGTTATAATTTCCAATGATAATAGCTAAGGACATCACAAATACTGTCCGTTCATAGGCTTCCTACAACTTAAGGAATGATACAAATTCTGCTTACCGTTCTCGACATGGGCAAGCCTGTGCATCAGAGGCAGCCAGACAAGGCACTGGGGAGGAGGATCGGCCATCATGGTGTCTAGAAACATGTTTAGCATTATCTTTTTCTGTGAAGAGAAGAAAAAACAAATATACGCCATATTTTTCAAGTCACTCTGAACTCCAAGATTAAGTTAATTTAGAATTTTCCCAAGGGAGAATGAATTACATGGGAAATTTTACAGCAAAACAAACAATATTTTGCATTACTACAGACATTGCTACACACTACCCTATACACTGCTGCTATATTCAGATGCAATTCCATGTACGTTATTTTGAGTCTTCAAACAACTGCAAAAGATAAACAGGCTAAGTATTACTATCTTCCTTTTACAGATGAGATAATGAAGGAACAACACATTTAAATGGCTTGTAAAGGTCCTAGTTGAATTAGGACTACATCTCAGGTGTCCCTCAAATCACTATTTTTGTTATCCAGCCGGGGAAACAGACATCACACAATTGATTATAAAACGTTGGCCATCTGGTTGTCTGCCATATTTCTAGCATTCCTAACACTGCCGGGCGCACCCCAGGCACTAGGAAGTAATTGCTGAATAAATACTAAAGTGAGGAGCAAACACTCAGATATCATTTAACAACCTTCCCACTTTATAGAAGAGAAAACTAAAGCCCAGGGTAGTAATTTGACCAAGTCACAAAGATAGTTATTAGAAGGATGAGATTATAACTTAAGTATTCAAATGCCCACCACAGTACTCCTTTCAGTATACCATCTCCTGGCTAGGCTGCATTTCTCTGTTCCATCTTTCTCTTTTTTAAGCAAACATATAGTAAGTTTCCACGGTATGTGAAACACTGATATAATTATGTTCCACGGAAACACAGAAAATTAGAAAATAGTCTAGGAAAAAGTCATAGGATATTGACAGAACAAATCCTTAACAATATTTCAAACTAATGAATTTTCTTTTTATTTCCTCTAACCCACAAAATAACCTTCCAGCTCTAAAATGAAAAGAAAAAGGAGGAAAAGGCAGTGCCACACAACTTGACATGACAGTTTTGTAACTGAAACCTGGACACTGAGGCCCCCACTTCAAACTTTATTCCAAAACAAGAGTGGACTCAAAGGGGAAACATAGGAGAACAGGAGATGCGCAGCCCAGCAAGCAGGCCTTTCCCAGGCACTGGGACCACCATTCAAGGTTGGGAGGGACGGCAGCGTAGGGCTGGGAGTCAGGTAAAGCCAAAAGGCACACAGAATTTCATCTCACTCTCCCAAGTAACTGTGTTCTCTGTCCCACCACTTTTCTTGAAGTGAAAAACAGGGTATTAAAAAAAATGCAGCCTTTCCCCATAAAACTTAAAACTACTTTATTTCAGGGGGAAAAAAAGGTAAAAGAGATTAAGAATTGGTTCGAGCTAACAAAGATATTACTGGTTGATTATAAAATAACTTTGATTTTTACCACTAAAATATTCAACAAAAATTGGAAGTCAGGAGCAAAGGCATTGTGGTATTTAATCAGGAGGACAGTGGCCTCCAGGCTTCTCCTCTGATCCACCATGACATCTTCCCAACAATGGTTCCCATCATGCAAACAGAGGCCAACACAGACTTACTTCTGTGCATCTTTTTGGCAACTGTTAGAATCTTGAGTCCAGTGTCTGTAAACTGGAAGTCATTCTTACTGAGAATAATCTTTAAAAGAAACTGGTAAGCAGGGAATAGAAAAGGGAGGTAAAGGAGATGAGAGAGCAAGAAAGCAGCTTCTACAATTTTAACTTCAAAAAAGATGAAGAAATCTGAAAGTCTCAGATCCAGGACAGAGACTCCAGGCCAGCACTGATTGGAGGGAGGGGAAGGTTCTGCCATGTATGCAAGCGGGCTGAATGAGGGTGACAACAGTATAAAGTTATCATCCAAAGGCCCTTAATACATAGCTGTGCATTGATGGTGTTGTTTGAGAAATGCCTACTCAAACAGGCTAAAGAAAGTTTTCAAAGTGCTTTCCATCTCAGACATCTAAGTCATTAATGTTTCTGCGATCTCACTGGAATCTTGGAGAAATGGGTGAACAACATTAGAAATAATACCAGAAGGTCACCCAACATCTGAGTGGAGGTCCAGACACGGAAAACGCCTCTGGTTATGGATATGCAAATAACCACAATAAGCCAAAATGAAACTGAAAGTGTCTACTTAAAATTATTGAGAAAGAAGATGCTAGGGAGTTTTCTAGCTAGTATGAGGTGGTTAACAAACATTAAACATACTATTTGTTATAAACTTAATGTTTAAATTAATATTTCTGCATCTTCTTCTATTTGTTAAAAATTACACTTTTACAAATCCACTTACAATCCTATTGCTACTTTCCCTAAAAAGTTCTGATTCACCTATCATGGAGTTTTGTGGAGATTTTTCATCTTTCAGATGAAAAGGAACATTTACATTTGATATCTCAGAACTCCCTCATAAGTACACTCATGATCAGTTTCCAAAAGTTGTCCTAAGATCACACTGTAATTTGAAGTCCTCCAAAAGCATGAGGAACGGAAACCAGAACCATATCCCAGAGCTCTGTTTTCCCGTAACTACGTGATTTGGGGGAAATCATTTAGAATTCTGGTTTCCCTTTTCTCACCCCTGTGGGGCCAGAGCAGTGGTTCTCAAAGTATGGTCAGAGGCCCCCTGGCAGGTTCCTACAACACTTCCAGGGAGCCCATGAGGCCAAAACTGTTTTCATAATAATACGAAGACATTATTTGCCTTTTTAAATCTCATCCTCTCATGAGTGTACAGTGGGGGATTCCAGGGGCAACATGGCATATCCACAATCATCTGGAAAAGCTATTAAAATATTCCTCCCTTTTCCAACTACACAGCTGTGGGAGACCAGATTTTCTTTCCATACTTCAACCAAAACAACATATCATGACAGACTGAATGGATAAGCGGATATGAGAATTGAGCTGCCTTGAGCCAAATATTAAAGAAATTTGCAAAAAACAGAAAACAATGGCATTCTTATTAAATTATTTTTCTTTTGAACACACATTTTTCATAAAAATATATTATTTTAATGTGTAATAGGTCTATCATTGTTCTTTTTAAAGAACTTAATAAATATTTTTAAAATTTATCAATTTTAGTTTCTAACATGGAAATATTGTTAGATATAATCCACATAAACAAAAACTCTCTGGGATCCTCAAATATTTGGGGGGGGGGAGCGGTAGAAAAATGTCCTGAAACCAGACAGCTTGAGAACTGGTGGGACAGAACTGCCAGCTCTAAAATTCCAGGATTCAGTAAATAACTACGTGAAAGATAGGCTGGCTCTTTTTCCTACCTTTTTGGGTTTTTTTTTTGGTTTTGCTCTTGAGTTGAACACATTCTTTGTGTTTCTCTGTATTTTTTATAACACAATATTTACAACAAAAACTGTAATAAAATTGTAAATAATGCACATTCCCACAATTCTTATTTTTCTGTATTTCCCTCCAAATCGTATGTTTCTATATAATTATGCACATAGGGTAGATAAAAATTTATAACCTGTTTTTTTTACTTAATACTGTATTAAATATTTCATTGTTTTGCTATAAGGTCTTCTTTTCTAATCATTTTAACAGCTGCTTGATCCACTGAGCAAAAACATCATGATTTATTTATGCCTTCCTCAATAAAACACTGAGGCTGTTTTTATCTCTGTATGCACTCATATTTTTCTTAGAAATCGTGTTCCTATTTGTCGCCTACCTCCCCACTCTGTTATTCTCATCCTCAATACTGACAATTATTAGTCTAGATGCCATTCTCACTTCCCTCCCTCCACCTTGGCTACAACTTTCCTGTTTTAAAAGAGGGGAGGAACCATGTCTTAAAAATGAGAACTCCAGTATCACTAAAATAACACGAGAAAACAAGTAAAATAATTCAGCATTAGATCATCATAGCTGCAGTTTCCAATCTCATCATTTCCACCAAAAATTCCTATTTCCTTATGGGCAACAGGTAAATGTTTCTTATCCATTGCCCTCTCACTTACTTGATAATCAGTTAAACAGTGTATGACATTTAGCTAACAGACTTAAAAAGAACATTTTAAAAATCTTTCAGATTAAAATGTTTCTAAATAAACTTTTATGCAGAGTTACAGAAATACTTGGGGCATACATTAACTGGTTATAGGGACAGCGCTATGGGTCAGCCTTTCAATTATTACTAGACCCTGAATTTGTCCACATCACAGACTTCTTGTGGACTTTGAAGATGAGAGCACTTTGTAATGACACAACAATGTAGTGTTGCTGTGCTTTTTTACCAGAGATACTTTTACATAGTATAGATTTTTTTTAAAAGATTGAAAAACCCTTCAAAAATTCTGAAATTCTGTATTTTCCTCATTGCAAAGATTGCTTCATTTGAGAAAATCATGGTATAGTATCATCAATGGAAACAAAAATGTTAGTACATCTGTGAGCTTTAAGCTTGTGATCAGAATTCAAGCCAAGATACTTTCTCATGCCACATTTGATTTAAAACCATTACTCAGTTAATCCAACAAATATCAAGTAAGTGTCGATTTTCCAGATACTGCTGAGTTACGGGGACATAAAGATGAAGGAAAGCAAGGTGCATCCCTTCAGGGCACAAGTGAGCTAGATGCAACGTGCCAGGGACTGCCGAAGACGAAGCAATTAATCCCACATGGAAAGATTCAGAGCATCAAAGTCGAGGAGATATTTCAGCTGTGCTTTGAAATATGCGGCCTTTGATGGAGGAGAGAGAGACGGTCCAAGGTTACTGACATTCCAGTGAGAACTAATCGCATAAACAAAGACAAGAAGTGTAGCATTTTCGCTCACTCAAAATGCACATTACTCAAAACAAGGGAAGTTTCAAATCAAAACGTTTCTCATCTATCAGACTGGCAAAAATTCCTAACTGTAAGAACACGTGCTGTTGGCAAGGCTGTGGAGAAAGAGACAGCTTTATATATACGCTGCTGGTGGGAATGTGAATGGTACAGCCCCCGTGGCACTGGGGCAATATCTAAAAAGAACCCATGGCGTGCCGAGGGAATCAGGAATGAAGGTGAAAAGACAGGTTGGGGGTTGGATTGATAGGCACCATCTCGTCTGGTTAAGAATCTCATCCAGTAGGCAACAAGAAGTTAGCAAACTTTTTTAAAAAGCAAACTAAGGACATTGACAGAGCTGTTTTTTAAAATGTTGACTTAAATTCAAATTTGTTTATGATTAAAAGGAATAATGAAACAAAAGCAGTCTCTGAGCAGGCATCGTCCTCTTCTTTAGATGCCATTTGGCTGGTAAGTAAAGTGACTATGAGACCAGAGTCCTGAGGGTTTCTTTGGCAAAAAAGCTTCCTGCTTTCCCGGAAGACTAGTGAACCCTGTGGCTCTCAGCTAGGGAGCGCATGCTAGGCTGTGCCACCAGTGAGCCCCAGAGAGGCAGCTGGGCCAGCGGCCCCCAACACTGCACGTCCAGCAGCCTTCAGCCCTGCCCCGGGGCCAGGGAACCAGGGCTGATTTCATCAGAACCTGTTTTCAGCTCATGAGTAACAACAGAGGGGAGGACCTTTCCCATAGCATCTACACAGTAAGCACTGCTATCTAACAAAAATCTTTTTTTTTTTAAAAAAAAGAGAAAACAATCTTGGAGCCACTTGTCATTCCTACCTAAGGAATTTAGTAAGACACTGTCCTCCACAGGCCCGACAGGAACAAAACCTCAACAAAACAAGACCTCCCAGGTCTCTACAATTTTGTTCAAGCTAATGAATGCCAGTGATACACACTTCATTACCATAGACCTGTTCATTACAAAATCCATTTTATACGCTGTATTTCATCCAGCCTAAGACACCACCACTTATAAGATACACCATTATTTTTTTCCTACCACTAAGAAAGAAAAACACTCAGCCAATTAAACTAACTCAATGACTTAATTAACTGTAATCCTTCGTGACATGTGAATCCGTCACACCAGCCTCTTGAACTGAAATTCCTTTCATCTATTCAGAAGGATCTAGCAATTTCGTCAAGGTTCAGTTGTGCTGCTTCAAGTGACAAGAAATTATTTTGGTCACATCTCAGTAAAAAAAATAATACAGCCGCATCTATTTGTGGATATTTTCCTTTAAAAAAAAAAAGGTTCTGAAAGCACTTGGTGTTGCTTTGTAAGAAAATATGGAATTCCTCCAATAATCAATATGTATCTCATTAATATTAAACTTATTCCCCTGTTATGTCCATGGCTTTCTGTGTTTACAATAACTTTTTATTTAATGCTAAATCAGAGTGCATCCTTTCTGAGAACATTTGAAATGACACCACACACAGTACCAAAAGTGGACATAATTCAGCTGAAGTGACAACTGGAACAGCTGTGACCAAGTTCATACTTGGAAGTGACAATCCATCATAACCACTGCCCAGCCAACTGCAATGGTAAGATGCCACTGGCCATACGAGGTATCCTGAGAGATGTTAAGGTGTGAAAAATGTCTTCCAATCAATGAAACATGGTACTAACCCACACTAGATTATAATGCTAATGAGCGGCTGCTAACAGAGGCTGTAAAATCTGCTTAATTAGAATACATATGAAATACACAAATACACGTATTCATGTGCCAGGCAATTTTTGCCAAATTTTATTCAATGTTCTGGAAATCAAGGTCCAAACATCCAGAAAATGTCTCATTTCAAAGATACAGTGGGAAGAAAAGTTACTTTGGCATACAGCAGAAGAATATATGTCAGTCCAAGTATAATCAAAGGACATATCCAGGCAAGAAATATTCTTGCTATTTTGAAAATCGGCAATAACATAATCCCTTTCTACCCTACTTCCCTCTCCCTCTGTGAACCACAGAGATGGCGGCGCAGTGTCCCATAAAGTACTATCAACCGTATCTCCTGCAACATTGATTGAAAAAATGCACCTGTTCCCTCTCTCACTTCCTCTCCCTAACTCTCCTCTCTACTCACTCAGGTTTCCCTTTCATAAAGACAGGCAGCAGGCTTATTTACAAGAATATGTATTGCATTGGTGTTCATAATAGCAAAAAGTTGGAAACAACCTAAAAGTCCAAAAATGGGAAATTGATTATATAAACTATGCGATATTTATGCCATAGAATAGCATGCATCTACCAAAAATTATATTATAGAACCTTTCTTTATTATGTAAAATATTAGTCAAGGCTATTAAATTTGTATGTTTAATGTGAAAAAAATTTTTGCCTACTTTTCACAATAAAGGATGTGGATTTATGTAATTTATAATTTAGTAGCTTTAAAAACATCAAAAATTAAAAGCATTTATAAGTCAATTCAACAGAATGCATCGACCGGAATAGTTAAAATTCAGTGACTGACACCAAATGTTGGTCAAATTTGGAGCAACCAGAAATCTCATATAAGACACTTTGGAGAAGCCCTGGTGTTTTCTTATAACCCTAAACAGATACCTACCCATGACCTAGCAATTCTGCTCCTAGGTTTTTCCCAAGAGAAATAACAATTTCACTAAAGGAAGGTCCTTCTGCAGGATTTTCAGCTTCTTTATTAAAATAGTCATACTTTCTCTTTAATTATGGTCATTTCTTTTTCAGCCCAGAACACGAACATGCTGGGGGAAACTACATATAAACCAACAACGCAAACCCCTCTTTACACCGACACCTGCTCTCTACTGAGGGTGCACAGGCTAACGCACACCAAAGGAATACATACATAGGAAAACAAACTGCACGGGAAAAGCTCATTTTCAGAAGAAAAAAACCCAAAATTTGTTGAATTTAACTTGCTGCATGAAACTTTGTCCAAACTGTCTTTCTCCTTCTTTTTTCTTCTTTGGTCATTCTATCAGTAGCTTGTATTTCTTTTGCAATAAGCTTTTCCGACTTTTCCAAATTTGGCATATTATCAAAACAAGGCTGAATTGTTTAAATAAGAATCTGAAGCAGGTAAAAAGCACCAATCAGGTGGTGAGTTCAAAGGCCTCACAAAAAAGGTAACATGTAGAATCCTAGACAGAAGTCTTAGAAGAAGAATTCCAACTTCTAGAAGATAGAATTAACAATTGGAATTTTTTAAATCCTCTTTAACATTTTAAACTGTCACTCCAATTTAGATTCTCATTTTAGTACTCACGTTACAATTCAATCAAAGATTCCTTTAGGTTTAGTGCACCACAGAATTAGCATCCATTGGTGAAATGTTCTACACTGATACTTCCTTGTATAAGTTCCCTTCCCCGTCCTGACACTGCTTTACTTAATAGTAGCATTCCAGAACTTGATCAAATTTTAGCCTGACCTCCAGGAAGCATCTGTGTGAAAAGCCACATGAACATCACATACAAGATTCCCCCAGAGCCCTGTGGAGGCAGCCGGTCGATGTGATGGCACTAATAAAGCAGCAGCAGTGAGATGAGTTCTAAATGAAAAATGGTTGTGGTATCTTCATCCTACTCATCCTCACTTGTATCTCTGTAGGGCATTTTAAGACCTGCAGCACATTTGTGGACCAGTATATGTTTGGACAGCCTCAAATCCTTCGAAAATGCACGTTTATTTGGGGGAAAATGCAAACTATGCTCTACTAGAATAATTGAAGCATAGATACTTTTAATTTGCTAAAAGCTGATATTGCCATTTATGCTGAGAGAAAAAATAATGTATAGAGACAAATTTCCACAAAAGCAACCAGCCAAAGTGTGTACAAATTTGGGAAGAACATCGCTTCAGAAGTTACTAAAAATAACTCTCTCGTACTGTGGGCTCCGCCTTCACTGCTAAAGGTGAGTAATCTCTAGACAAACTGTAAAATATTATTTGGAAGTCTGAATTCAGACAAACACGAGTTCTTAATTTTAAATGTAAAAAGGGATATGTGCGTGTTCTTTTTTTTGTTATTGAGCTGTATGAGATGTTTGTGTATTTATTTCTGCTTATCTTTTTTTACCCACTAGGTTTTAAATTTTTTTAAAAATCTTTTTCCTCTAACAGAGGCACTGAGGATTGAACCTGGGACCCTGCACACGCCAAGCACTGAACTGTACCCTCAGCCCCCCTACCCATTAGTTTTAACATAGATTTTTTTTTCTTAATTCCCTGCTTTCTCAAACTTTCTCAGTCTAGTGTGAAGCTTCTTTATCTCATCTCTACCTGAAAAAAAACAAATGCTACAGCCAGCATCCACTCTGCTCTAAGTCCTTGGAGGTATAGTTTTAATCTCAGGAATACACTCACACCAGCCTCTAGAGCAGGACCACAAAAGGACACCCACAAATAAAAAGGAAACCAACTCTATCTTCCATAGAAAATGCACATTGAGGGATTCTGAGCCGGCAGCTGAGAGCTGCACAGTGTTCCTTGTCTTCAGTGCTCGGGAAACAATGATCCAGTATTGTACTGAGGTTTATATCAAAATTGCGATATTTCACAGTTGAAAAACTCATTAGGGAGAGGAATATATGTCCAGTGGCAGTAATATAATCACTTCATCCTAAATATTTTTTCTTGAAATGTTTAGTAATTTAAAATATTTCAAATGTTATCCTTTTTTCAGAGAAGACTCCTCCCCACTCCCAAAAAAGAGTCCTCAGGTGAATTTTTTTATCCCCAATCTTTTCCACATCCCCTCCCTTGACTTAAAGCTCTTTTTCCTCCCCAGCTCTAGACCTATATCCCTAGACTGAAGCAATCTGGTGAAATCTGACAGAAGGTGGAGGAGGGGATGGGAGCTCCTCAAGTCCTAGATTCTAGAAAACTGTCCTTACCTGCTGTGGAAAACAGGTGCGGACTGAGTGCTCTGTGTAACCAAAAGATGGCCCTTCAAAGACAGCTGTTGGGAGCTTCAGCACTTCCTTCAGAAACTGGTCAAACTTGCTAAATATCATTAAGCCATTGGAATCTGACATCTGGGAGAAAACATCTATGAGAACAAAACCAAATAAAGTCAAACTGTAAAAACAAAAAATCAACTTTTAATAAACAGCTCTATGTCATTTGTATACCAGTCCAAAAGTATCATTACAAAGCATCATAAAGTTAATACGATTTTTAGTTAACAGGTATTTTCATTCTCTGTGTGGTTACTCTGCTGGTGAGGCCCCTCTGCCCCACCCACTTAAAAGTCTACCTGAACTTCAAATCCAATAAACATCCACACAGGACTACCTCCCTACTCTTTCTGAGTGTACCTAACTGAATGATATATAACTTTTATTTTATTTATTTATACCTCACTTTGTTCCAAGAAGAATTTGTAGCAGCTGTCTTTCTCACTTACATTTACATACGCATTTATATAAGACATGTACATGTTTGAGTGTATGAATACATTTACACATTGGTGATGGGGGATGAAAGAAACTGTACTATATTTGTATGTTCATATATTAATGATGTAATGTATTTCTGTACAGGAAAATAAATCTCAAGGAAGCATATAACTTGTTTATTTAAAATAATCCATTTGGGGGGGAGGGTATAGCTCAAGTGGTAGAGCACATACTTAGCATGCACGAGGCCCTGGGTTCAAACCCCTGTACCTCCATTAAAAAAAAAGAACAATTAATAATAAACAGACCTAATGACCGCCTCCCTCAAAAAAAAATTAAAAATTAAAATTAGAAAAATTCCATATAGTAAGTTCCAGAGAAGAATTTTTAAAAACTCATAAAAACTCTTCTATCACCAGATACTTTGTTACTATAAGATTCTGTTTTTACATAAAGTCTGACCCATAGATGGGAAAGACCTTTCCAAAAATACGACTATTTATTTTTTTGCAGAGTTTCCAGTTTCCCGTTAGTTATTCCTCTCTTCTCACCCAGTTGGGGAGAAAAAGAAAAATAACTAGGAGCTCAAAACAACTTGACAATTATTAACCTAAGCTTTTTTTCAAACTATTCAGCTTTCTTACAAACAAATCAGTGAGTTAAATATGCACAAAAAATAATTTCCTGAGGCCTTTCCAAACATGGCATTTTGAAAAATCATATTCTATATATGTACAGTGAACAGGTATATTAGATATATATGTGATAGATAGATACAAGGTACATATATGCATTACTCTCTAGGTTCAATCTGGTATTTCATCCTAAAGCACTAGGTGTAGAGAAAAAAATTTTTTTAAACCAATATTTAAAATACATTAATCAAAGAAAGAAAAAATTTAGATTATCAACTCCATAGTATAACTTTTAAGCATTAGAAAACAGGAAATTATCAAAGAAATAAAACCGTCTGTACATTCCTCTCATGACAGCTGCTAGGTTGTAGCTGAAGGAAAAATATTAAATACCTATTAGGTGGGAAAAATCTAACAAGAGGCTAAAAGTATAGTCCTAGTGGAAAGTAAGATGTTCTTACTAAGTGGTCCAAGTACCAAGCACTCTGCTAAATATTTTGAAATACAGCAAAGAAGTATGATACATGGTTCTTATCCCCCAAGAAAAATTCAGTGTAGCTGGAAAAATAAGATACTTATGAAGCAACGAAGAAGTAAGTCCTAAGCTGACTCTAAATAGAACAGAAAGAAGAGAAACAAGGTATTTGTTAAACCTCACCATTTGCCAGCAGGCACCACAATGGGTAACTATGGCTGAGTCTGCCTGCAGCTGCCCAATATTCTTATCTCCTTCCTTAGTAGTAGAACACCAATTTCATTTTCTGCATCAATGCACCCAAGTAAGAGGTTAAATTTTGCGGCCTTCTTTTAGTAAGTTGTGGTCAGGCAACTAGATATTTGGCCAGGAAGACTATAAGCAGAAGGGTTGTGAGAGACTTCCAGGAAAGCTGGTTAAAGAAAGCTGACTACACTGGGAATACACCCTTTTTTCCTTCCTCTTTTTGCTATTTGTAATGCAGCTATGATTGCTGGAGTTCCCGCAGCCACCTTGGACTATATGGCAATCTCATTTTTGATGTAGAAATCATACACTAGAATGGTAGAAAAAAAAGATATAGAAAGTCTGGATTCCAGATGAACATAAAGCTACCATACCAGCCCCTGGACTATATACTCCTGGACTTCTTTTATATAAGAGAAAAATAAACTTCAACTTTGTTTAAAACACTGTTATCCTGGGGTTTTGTTTTCATGTAGTAATCTCCAATACTAAGTACTACTATACTTCACTAAACATTAGCTCATTTTACTGTCACAAAAAGGTGTGTGTGTGTTTGCACGCACATGTGTATGTACATAATCATTTAAAATTTAGATAAGGAAACTAGTTTGGAAAGGTTAACCTTCTTAAGGTCAAAAAGTTAGTAAGTGAGTAAATCAAGACTTAAACCCACACTTATCTGACTCCAAAGAAATTCCGTTACACCACACTTCTTCAAATATAGTGTAGAATAGATCTAAAACACACACACACACACACACACACACACACACACACACACACAGAGGCAGGAA